TGTTTCTGTATGTATAGTGTTATTCATTGTCTTTGTGAATAAGACAGCATTCCTGTGTTTGTCAATATTTATACAATCAAATAATCGTCCCTCTAAATTCTTCATGATAAAATATTTGTAAGGACCTTATTTTGGTGAGATATCTGTCTTTCTGTGTTTTTGTGCATTGTATATTATTAATTTTACTATATCATCTATTTAAAACTGCATTGCTCATTTTCATCCTTTGTTTTATATATTTTGTTCCCTTTTTTTTAAATTATTATTATTATACTATTTCCTTCTTTGCCTTAACTTAGAATTTGGTCTAATGGTGTATTGTTTTCTTTGAAGGCAAGTTTTCATATTAAATGACTATGGCCACACTATTTATTTTTCTTCTTTTATGTACATCTGTTATATTATTTTTCTTCTTCTTTTATGTACATCTATTACAACTCTTATACTAATTCATATTCTTTAGAAATGTATATATTTTTGTTTCAATATTTTCCTTTTCTAATGACATGATTTCATTGCCAGTTTTTCAATTTAGCTCCCCTTTTTTCAAATAGGAAGAAAATAAGACATCTGTTTGTATTAGGCAACTAGTGATACAGTGGTATTTGTGATGGGTAAACCATAAATATTTATAAAAGTATATACAGTCTTTCTTAAAGGGACACTATAGTCACCTGAACAACTTTAGCTTAAAGGGAAACTCCAGTGCCAGGGAAACAATCAGTTTTCCTGGCACTGCACGTCCCCTCTCCCTCCTACCCCCCAATCCCCGGTTGCTGAAGGGGTGAAAACCCCTTCAGTCACTTACCTGGGGCAGCGATGATGTCCCTCGTCGCTGCTTCCTCCTCCGCCGCTGCTCCTCCTTCTGACTGCGTTGGCCGGTGGGCGAGACTGATCCTGCCCACCGGCCGGGGAGACCTAATGCGCATGTGCATTAGCGCTCCCCATAGGAAAGCATTGAAAATGCATTTCAATGCTTTCCTATGGAGAAATGAGCGACGCTGGAGGTCCCCACACAGCGTGAGGACGTCCAGCGACCCTCTAGCACAGGTTTCCTGTGCTAGGAACCAGGAAGTACCCTCTAGTGGCTGTCTAGTAGACAGCCACTAGAGGTGGAGTTAACCCTGCAAGGTAATTATTGCAGTTTATAAAAAACTGCAATAATTACACTTGCAGGGTTAATAGTAGTGGGAGTTGGCACCCAGACCACTCCAATGGGCAGAAGTGGTCTGGGTGCCTGGAGTGTCCCTTTAATGAAGCAGTTTTAGTATATAGAACATGCCCCTGCTGCCTCACTGCTCAATCCTCTGCCATTTAGTAGTTAAATCCCTTTGTTTATGAACCCTAGTCACACCTCCCTGCATGTGACTTGCACAGCCTTCCATAAACACTTCCTGTAAAGAGAGCCCTATTTAGTCTTTCTTTATTGCAAGTTCTGTTTAATTAAGATTTTCTTATCCCTTGCTATGTTAATAGCTTGCTAGACCCTGCAAGAGCATCCTGTATGTGATTAAAGTTAAATTTAGAGATTGAGATACAATTATTTAAGGTAAATTACATCTGTTTGAAAGTGAAACCAGTTTTTTTTTTCATGCAGGCTCTGTCAGTCATAGCCAGGGGAGGTGTGGATAGGGCTGCATAAACAGAAACAAAGTGATTTAACTCCTAAATGACAGTGAATTGAGCAGTGAAATTGCAGGGGAATGATCTATACACTAAAACTGCTTTATTTAGCTAAAGTAATTTAGGTGACTATAGTGTTCCTTTAATAAAACTTAAACGGATACTATAGTCACCAAAACATCTTAAACTTAATGAAGCAGTTTAAGTGTTTTTGATGTTAAGTCTCTGTTTATGCAGCCCTAGGCACACCTCTGTGCATGTGACTTGCACAGCCTTCCTAAACACTTCCTGTAAGGAGTTATTTAATGTTTACACATCCTTTATTGCAAATTCTGGTTAATTTAGAATTTCTTATCTCCAGCTCTGTTAATAGCCTTCTAGACTCTGCATGACCCTTCCATATGTAATTAAAGTTCAATTTACAGAGCAGGAGATAAAAACAAGAAATATCTTATTGAAAATTATTTCTTTTTTTTTTTAATGCAGGCTGTGCAGGGAAGGTGTGGCTATGGAGGCATAAAAAGAAACAAAAGTGATTTAACTCCTAAATGGCAGAGAATTGAGCAGTTAACCCCTTAAGACCGGAGGGCGTACAATTACGCCCTATTTTAGTTGGCTCTAAATGCCGCCTTGCGTAATTGTACGCCCTCCGGTCTTTTCTTACTTACCCGGTCGCCGGCTGTCCAATGCCGGAGATCGCCGTGGGGGGGACTCCCAGGGAGCCCCCCCGCAGTAGATCCTCCTCCTCCGGTGCCCCCCGGCCATGTGAGAGTGGAGTTCTTGCGAGGACCCCGCAATCACATGGCCGGGTAGGCTGCCTCCTGCATTGCCAGCAGGGGGGCTGCCTGTAATGACAGGTGGTCCCCCTGCTGGCTGAAAATAAAAATAAAAGAAATTTAAAAGTGTGAAAAAAAAAAGTATACTTAGATCATATATATATATATTATATATATATGATCTAAGTATATATATATATATATATACACATATACATACACACACATACACAGTCTAGGTGTATTTTACTATTAATATATATATATAATTATATATATATATATTAATATCAAATTACACGTAGACTGATACTGATTAAATATATATATAATAATTGGTATATATATATTTATATATAATATAAAAAAAAATATGTAAATACGTAAAAAAATAAAATTAAAAAAATAATTAAAACAAATAAAAAATATATAGATGTGTGTTATTTCATTCTAACTGTATTGTGATATTAATATATATATATTTATATCAAAATACACGTAGAACGAAATAATATATCTACATACATAAATATATACGTATATATCACTATATACCTATATATAAATAAAAATATTTTTAAAAAATTATATATATATATATATATACATATAGATTCACATACATATATATAAAAATCCAAATAGATGGCTGCACTCACGGTTTTATATAAAAGTCCAAAGTTTATTGAAGAGTCATAAGAAAATTTGCGATCAACGTTTCAGTCCTTCCAAAAGGACTTTCTTCAGGATCATAAAAGCAAATATCGAACATACAGCATATTTATATAAGACATAATTAATTAAATTAAACAAATTTAGGTGGATAAGCTTACCCCAAGTGAGTATTGCCGTCTAACTGGCGTCCCAGTACCTCGTGTGCGCGTGTGCAAACATGCTCCGCCCCACATAGTGACGTCATATTACGCCGACGTAACCATAGCGACACAAGCATACAAAAACGTCGCTATGGAGATAGAATGAAAGCGGACGGTTAAGAACCGAGTGATTAGAAAGCACCTTGATTATAGTGATCAGTATAATTAATATCTATCTACATATTATGTATTCAAGAAAGTGAACAGACTAATTAGTGATGTTATAGTAAAAGATAATAAATAATCATCCTATGTTATAGTAATCTGGCTAAATGCCATTGAATGAAAAAGTGCAATGTGCAATTAAAGTGCTAAAATTGAATTACCTAATAGCACCTAATGAAATATAAAGTGAATAAATTTATGTGTGACAAGTGAGTGTATAAGTTTAAAGTGACAACATTATTAAAGTGCTGATAAGTGCTTAAAGTGACATAGTGCTAAACATGCTAAATATACACTGCACAAAGATTATAAGCAGTATACAATCTTAAAATATTAGAAAACTAATTATGTACATATTCTACAAAAAAAGCTATATTCACTGATATACACATAGAAAATCAATCTGAGATATGCAAACTAGTGTGCTATTAAAGCTAAACATTATATTGTTAAGAATTATAGTTATGTTGGTAATTACCCAAATTATATAAAGTGCTAAATCACAGTTAGCATTATCTCAGACTGTATCTTTAAAAACATAAAATAAGATAATATGACAAGCTGGAGCATAGTTTTAGTCTCGCTATAGAAAATTTGTTTCTTCACTAAGCCATATTACTTCAAATACCTAGAAGCAAAAACATGCAAAAAAACATGCAAAAAGACATTTCTTTAAAAAAATTTTTTAGAAAAAAATGTTATTTTTGAACAGACATATATCCTAGATGGAAACTATGGCTGTTTCTTAGAGCAAACACATTATAGGATTTTTGAAAAGCTATTGCCTAACAAAGATCTGGATAAATGAATACTACAAAAAAGAATGGAAAGAAATATGTTCGTTTAACCCTTTCGGGGATACTGTGTCCAGCTCAAAAATCCAAAAGGTTTCTCTATTCAACAAGAGTTTTCCTCGGTCTCCGGCTCTATTTGATGCTAAGACATGTTCAATTGCTACAAACTTTAAAGTAGCTAATGGATGTTTCATCTGTAAAAAATGTTTGGCAACTGGTTTGTCCGACATTCCGTCTCTGTACCCCAACCTAATACTTGATCGGTGTCCTCTTATCCTTTCACATAGCGCAGTTTCTGTTTTTCCTATGTATACTAAGCCACACGGACACATTAATTTGTAAATGACGTGTGTGGTTTTACACATTATAGTGCTCTTAATGGAGTATTGTTTGTTCGTATGCGGGTGTAAAAAACTTTTTGCTGGCGTCATGTGTCCACATGTAACGCACCCAAGGCATCGAACACAACCTCGATTTTGAGTAAAAGTATTGTCCGAGTAGCTTAGAACAGGATCTGTACACACTAATAGATCTTTTAGGTTTTTGTTTCTCTTATAACAAATAAGCGGTTTTTCACAAAAGACCTTAGGAAGAGTGTCGTCCGTCGCCAAAATTCTCCAATTTTTTCTTATAGCAGAAGAAATAGATTGGGTAGACTTATGGTATGTAGTAGGAAAAACCAATCTTTGGGTTGATGCTTGATCTCTGGATGTCCGAGGTTTCCTTTCTTCTTTTAATGCTTGATCCAAGACCAGGCGTTGATATCCTCAACGCCAGAATTTTTCTGTCATTTCTGATAGTTGTCTTTCTTTAATGGTCTCATCAGAGTTGTTTTTCATCACCCTTAAGTACTGCGCTTTTGGGAGTGACTTTATCAGTGATTGTGGATGAGCACTGTTTGCATGTAGTAGAGTGTTTCTATCCATCATCTTAGTGTACAGACTATACTCTATCTTGTTAATGCCAACAGTTAACTCCACATCTAGATATTGGACTTTTTCAGGACTGATATGTGCCGTCAGTCTAATGGGTACCGGGAGTTGGTTGAGATTCTCCACCATCTTATTTGCCTCCATCGCTGTGCCTTTCCAGATGATCAGGAGGTCATCTATGTAGCGATAGTATCCCTGGATTAGATGGCCATATGGTGTCATAATATAGCGTTAGCATACATGGGGGCCATCGCTGCCCCCATCGATGTACCAGACACCTGTAAATACCATAAATTCTCAAAACGAAAATAATTATTTTCCAAGGCTAATGTAAGAATTTCCAGGACAAATTCGATGGGAGGTCCCTTGTATACTGTTGAAGCCAACAATACCTGGCGCATAGCCTCTATTCCCTCCTCGTGTGGAATCACTGTATACAGGCTACTCACGTCCATAGTAATAAGTAATGGTTGATGACCTCCAAATTCAATATCACCGATTTTGTTCAATAGTGTAGGTGTATCTTTAATGCACGTTTCCAGTTGTTCTATTGGCTCTTTAAACAAATAATCAAGCCATTTGGCCAGAGGTTCAATAATTCCGTTAATCGCGGATACTATGGGGCGGCCTGGAGGGTGTTGAGCATTCTTATGTATCTTTGGGAAACTAGCACACTAGTTTGCATATCTCAGATTGATTTTCTATGTGTATATCAGTGAATATGGCTTTTTTTGTAGAATATGTACATAATTAGTTTTCTAATATTTTAAGATTGTATACTGCTTATAATCTTTGTGCAGTGTATATTTAGCATGTTTAGCACTATGTCACTTTAAGCACTTATCAGCACTTTAATAATGTTATCACTTTAAACTTATACACTCACTTGTCACACATGAATTTATTCACTTTATATTTCATTAGGTGCTATTAGGTAATTCAATTTTAGCACTTTAATTGCACATTGCACTTTTTCATTCAATGGCATTTAGCCAGATTACTATAACATAGGATGATTATTTATTATCTTTTACTATAACATCACTAATTAGTCTGTTCACTTTCTTGAATACATAATATGTAGATAGATATTAATTATACTGATCACTATAATCAAGGTGCTTTCTAATCACTCGGTTCTTAACCGTCCACTTTCATTCTATCTCCATAGCGACGTTTTTGTATGCTTGCGTCGCTACGGTTACGGACGGTTACGTCGGCGTAATATGACGTCACTATGTGGGGCGGAGCATGTTTGTACATGCGCACACGAGGCACTGGGACGCCAGTTAGACGGCAATACTCACTTGGGGTAAGCTTATCCACCTAAATTTGTTTAATTTAATTAATTATGTCTTATATAAATATGCTGTATGTTTGATATTTGC